CTTGTTTATGTCTCTTCCAAATTATCATCCTGACAGGACTCGCTTATGCTGGCACATGCCTGGCGTTTGCGTTTCCCAAGCTCAGTCGTCGCGCAAAGCTTGCCAAGTCGTCGCTTCTTGCGTGGCGGCGGGGACAGTTACGGCGAGGGCCTCGCAAGCACGTTGGGGCCCTGGTTCCTGGGGAAATCAGCGATCGCCAAGACAGTGTTTGTCATTTGATGCGCCTTGGAAAATTGTTTGGGTTTTGCAGGCGCGCGCGTGAACCTACTAACGCGTCAATTCCTAGGAGCGCTGGGCCTCAACGATTCTCACCTCTCATGTTGTAGTACTCTTTTGTGAAAGAGGTGTAAGTTAAGGGCAAGAAGCTCACAAACGGTCCAGCGCCTTGCGGCGCAGCCCGGCAAGGTGGATTTAGCATTCGCCCCAAAGACATCGCCGAACCCAGTGGAAACCCATTTGATTTGGAGCAACTCTGTTGTTTGTTTCTTACGCTGTAAGGCATCAATGTCAACCAAGAAATCAGTCGAGCTCACACGCAGGTCCAGTTGCCAGCCATTGCCTTCTGAAAAGCCCGGTGGTTTGGCTGCGCGTAGCCAAGAAATTGTTAAATCTAGCCATCCCTGATTGAGGCGTGGCCAAGACAGACATGGCGATCCGCGAAGGCGCTGCAGCTGGCTCCATGCTCTCAACCAACATGCGCTTGCAGGAGTTTTTTTGTGACAGAGACCGTTGCGTCCCCAAGCTACGCCCCCGAGGAGAGGTTAATAGGTGGCTGGCGTGGTGTTCTGATGAGCAGACAGGCGGGCCTGAGAGCAGGCAGGCATGTTTGGGATTGGTGTTTATCCCCCAAACATGCGCAGGCAGACTGTCTCGCGAAACCCTTCTCTTTGCACTCAGGGATGCTGCAGCAGCGGCCAACACGGGCGGGGACCCCTGGCTGCGCAGATGTTTCAGGCCATTCATGTTTTTTATCAAAAACATCATGGATCATGTTTGTTCGTATCTTTGTATATTGGAGCATGGTGCAGCGGGTTGCGCGGATGAAGGAATGAAACTGGAGGCCGCTGGTCTCCTCATCACCTACATTTTGCACGCGCGACTGAAGCAATGAAACATTGCATCGAAGTCGTTGAAGGAGAGTCATGTCTCTCTCCTGCAGGCCTTTTTTAATGTCTTTTCAGATAGTGCCAAAAGACTTTGATTAAGGACCTTTGTGCAAACGTGTAGAACCCTTAATCAAAACATTCAACCTTAAAACTAAGGAGTTTGAAAAGGCCTTAAACGTATTTGAGGTCTTTTGGAAGCTCTGGCTCCTAAGTGGGTAGAACTAAGCATCTCTGGTAGATTTTCGTTTGTCTTCATTTCTCACGGTTTTTTGGCTTGGGATTTCCAAGTAGGCGAATCACATGATATCATGACACAGCGTTCTGTTTTCCATCCATAGTCATTGATCACTGGCATTTCTCTGAGCCCCAGTCAATTCACATGGGGACGCGCGCGCGCGCCAGAGGCCCCAGAACGACCAGCCGAAAAAGAACAGCAGCCAAGCCAGCCCGGAAACGCAAAACGCAACAAAACACTGTAAAAAGCAGCGATTTGTGGCCGGGGGCGCGCAAGCGCGCGCAGGCGCCGCAAAGCCCAAAATCCAAGTGGAACAAAACAAGGGCAAGAGCCAGCCACAGCAGAAGGAAAACAAGCAGGACATCAGCCCAACGCGCAGCATAGCATTTTTTGATGGTATTTACGGCATTTTGTAGGGCAAGGAATTAGTATCGCCGGTATTTTCGGTAGCGCTTGGTTCCAAAATGCGCGAAAATGAGACTTGTTTATATTCCTTCAGCGCCCTCGGAAAATCAGTTTTTTCATGGGCTGCGACGCTGTTTGGGCGCAAGCCACGCTGAAGCGTCACCCAAGCCCCAGACCGTGGTGATGTCAGCCGCACGGCCTAAACCCTGCATACACGCGATGTGTCGCGAGGGTTCCCACAGGCAAACAAAACCGCAAGCCCGAGCTGGTGACGCGGAGGTGCCGGATTTAGGCAACGCATCACGACCAAGTGATGAGGGTCGGCGGCACAGGGGTGCAGCCCCATAGCTGAAGCTAGCAGGCAAAATTGCCTAGCGGCGGCGTAG